AGGCATAGAGCAATACATTACATCCAGTTGATTGAGTCCATGATCAGGAATTAATAAACAGATTTTTCCATAACAGACACCATTGCAGTAGTCCAGCCGACTATAAAAGCATGAATACTTTTCTCTATGTCTGCTCTGGAGATGATACCTCTGACTCTTGATATTTGACGAAGGTGATTAAACACTGATTTAGTTTTAGCCTTAATATGTCCAGAGAAGTTCAGGTCGGAGTCAATGATAACACCTAGATTTCTAGCCTGGGTCTTGCCTAGTTGTTGCTTAAAGAACGGAGTTATACGACATTAAACTCATATGGTATGACACCTGTTTGGCATGAAGAGCAGACAGCATCACTGAACATGGTGAGTAGGACTAAATGTTCTATGTAGAAAGATTGGTTGCTCTAAGAAACCAAAAAAATGTCAGGAGCTGTTTGAGAACCGAAAGAGCCGGTTCGTTTTAGTGAACCGAGCCGTGGGAACCGGTTCTCTTAAAAGAGCCGGAGTTCCTGATCGCTCACACAAAAACAAAACAACAACCGAGGGCAGGAAGTGATCTCAGTGTCAGTTTGTTGAGGTGTTTGACTCATAACAAAATTGTGGGAATTTTCACTTACAGTGACTGGCTCGGAAACATAAACGACTGAAACGGTTTCGCTGCTATCGTGAATGTTACAGACCTTCCGTACATTCTTCCCCTTCCACCCATTAACACCACAGGACACAAAACCATAGTCCAACATACAAACGCACAGTGAAAAGTTGTTAGAAATAAAATGTCCGGAGGAACAGTGAACGCAGCATTAGTTCCTGGTCAAAGGATCTGTGGAAGTGAGGTGTTTCTACGTCTTTAATTTTCCTGTTTGTTTTTTTTTTTGACACTGTGTTTAGAGCTGTCTTTCTAAGCCATGGAACCGTAGAAAGTTTTCCAGAAATGATTTGGGAATATTTTAACGCGTCGCCACGACTCGGAAATCCAGCTGGCTTTGCAAACGAGGTAATGTTAGCCTGAGGGCTAATTGGGAGCTAGCCACTGCTAGCTTCCCAGTTAGCAAAACCACATCGGTGCTTTGATTTGTTTGACACCTGGGCTGTAGGGAAATAGCAAACACAACGGCAGAGCCGAGCTCTTACTCTCGGCTCCAGCTAACCGAACCCGACTCTTCTCCGGACCCAAACTGTCCAGTGGTTTCTGTCAACAAGTGGTTTAATTGTGCCCCAGGTGGACTGGCGGAACCAGACCTGCCGCTCTGAGCGACACAGGTGATGGTGATGCTCCTAGGCTTGTTGTAGTTAACGTTACCACTTCTGTTTTTACTGGGACGACAATTCATTACAGTCACGAGTTACGTCATGCTTATTAAACTTCCTCAAGCAGCAGTTAACTGTTCTATTTTCTTCTGATGTCGCTGTTTTCAACATGGTAGTTTGGTGCGCGCGCGCGCGCGTGTGTGTGGGGCTCGGACTGGATGAGTCAGAGCTTATACCCACAGATACATGTTTACAGACCCGGGCAGAAGTCTTGGATGAGACCCGTGAAGAGCAGCAGCCCAACACTTCTGATCTGGTGACAGATTCCCTGGAACAATTAGTCGTGCCTCCTCACTGCTTTTACTTCTGAAGCGTAAAATGGGATACATTTCTTGGGGCTCAAATAAAAGATGGCAGAACAAGGGCAAGACACAATGGACATGTGACATATCATAAAATACTCCCACTATTTTCAATGATGAGCCCCACAGGCTCAGTTTTTAATTACGAACAATATATCTGCAATTTTCCAGTCAAATTCAAACAACGCAGCATGTATTAATCAAGGCTGCTGTTTTTGTAG